CTAATCGATCCTATTTTTTCTGGATAGCTCAAATAAATCGTCTAGTTATGACATGATTCTCCCATTTGAACTTAAATAGACAGAAAATGGATGTTGTCAGCTATGGAAGAATAATCACAAAGTATCTTGATTCATTATATGATAAATAGTTAGCAGCCAGATCGTATTTCAGATCCGTGGACATTAATATACACATTAAAAAGATGAATATACTTAGATACTACTACTACTACTACTACTACTACTACTACTACTACTACTACTATTACTACTACTACTACTACTACTACTACTACTACTATTACTACTACTACTACTACTACTACTACTACTACTACTACTACCAATAATAATAATAATAATAATAAGTAATTGTGTACAGTGATAATTTTGTCAGAATAAAACTACGAATGAAAGTTAATGTTGACATTTTTTCCACAACAGTTGTTAATTCATTATTATTTGTAGAGGTAATGTTCACAAGAAGATGAATGTTTCAATGAAATTAAATTCCTGAGATTTTTTCTTTAAAAAGTTGCATAATCATAACATTGGTATTAGGAAAACATAATTAGTTCACTTCACTTCAATACGTTTACAGTATAAGAGTTTGTAGTTTAGAAAACAATAATTATGCATAGTAAAAATATTCTAGTGATAATAATCAAAGAAATATTGGAATCTTAAATTAATAAAACCTAATTTAATGGGTAACAATAGGAATTTACATATTTCCTTGTTTGTTCAATGACAATAACAACATATTTTCACTAGGTAGTGATCAATGTTGCGTATATCTAGTTCTTTAATAGTGATCAAATTCTATTGAACAAGTAACTAGACACTGAGAAATAGTAACTTTTCAAACTATGAAGATGGGAAACAAGGATTCGACTCCAACACGAAGTAAAAACTCCCACATAGATGGAGGTATATCTGACTTATGAATATTAAGTAATATGATGCCTAAATTAAGGATTTCCTACTGAATATCTCAAACCACATTATAGAAATTAATTATTTTCATTATGAACTCAGGTCAGTTAGTGGACTGCTAAAAAAATATTAAATAGCTGTCTACTTTGATTCGCCCCATATCAACCAAACATAATCATGAACCTTAAGAGTTGTGTCTCCTATTGATGGTTAGTGTGAAATAAATCTTCTGAAAACCAATAAGGACTGTGCTGGTTGAAGAGATTACAATTACACTATTTAAAAGCAGTATAGTTCTTTTTGTTTTAAGGATATCATGGCAAGTATATAATTATTGTATGTGTTAACTGCCAATATTATAGCTTTCATTTGATTAGAAGATAATCATATATATCTCCTACATTCATCTATACTATTTAAATTTGTGTTCACTTAATTTGGTTACTTTTTTACTCTTTGAAGATTCAACTTCAACTAAGCAGTAAAACCTCAGAAGGTCAAATTTCTAATCATTAGAATATCACGAATATAATTTGGTTGGCTTTTTTAGCAAGATTTTTTCTGCGGGATAGGGTTACCGACCTCATGCCCAATCGTCCTCCTTTACTCTGGCTTTGGACCGGCAGTAACTATAGAAGAGCTACAGGCGAAGTCAACAAATATCAAAGTGAGAATCTTCAATAGATTAAAACAATCCTACTGTATGGTGTTGAAACGTGGAGAACTAATACAACCATCATCAAAACACTACAAGTATTTATAAATAGTTGTCTACGCAAGATACTCAACATTCATTGGCCGGATACGATTAGCAAGAGCCTACTGTGAGAGAGGACAAACAAGCTTCCAGCTGAAGACGAAATTAGGAAAAAACGTTGGACGTGGATAGAACATACATTACGAAAATCGCCAAACTGCATCACGAGGCAAACCCTAGCTTGAAATCCTGAAGGGAAGTGGTAAAGAGGAAGGTCAAAGAACACACTGCGTCAGGAATTGAAAACAGACATGAAAAGTATGAATAGCAACTGGAAAGGATTGCTTAGGACTAGGTTGGATGACGAGTGCTGGTTGGTGGCCTTTGCTCCTCTACGAGGAGTAACAGGAGTAAGTAATCACCAAAAAAATCATTGTTTTTTTAAAAAAATGACAATACATTCATTTTATGTATTCTTCGTTTTTGAGGAAACGAATACATATTATGCGATGTATAACAATGATACTGTTTAAGTTTATCGGTACTATTACATATACATATTCAATGAAACTCTGTCTACTGAGATTTTTGTGTAATGTACTTTTTATCAATGTGTTTAACATTAATTAGATATGATCAAAGGAAAAGAAACTTTAATCAATGCTAGGTGGTAATAAAATTTGTTTCATGAAACTTTCAATGATTCATAAGTGAACAATTTCTTTATTATTATCAGAATGTGTTTTGTGGAGATTTTTAGAAATTTTCACAGATTGAACTCATGAGTCAGTTGAAGCTAGACCACCATTGAAAACCTGGAAGCACTGGACGGCCGTTTCTTTATTCATCAATACTTATTTGTATACATTATTCTTATTAGTTTGTTATGAAGTTTTGAAACTGTAGAAACAATCTATATCGAATGTTCTATTACTTAAAAAGAATATTTTTAAACTTACACACATTCGATTCGTTATGATTAATTTGTGCAAAATAAGAATTCATAATTGGTACCATTCAAATGTGTCAGGAATAAAACAGTTATCATTAGTGACATTGGATGATAGTTAAACTATATTATAAATTACTTAACATTAAAATAACACTATTGAAGACTGATCCAGTAGTGTTAATGATTGTGTTCATCATGAAAATTGAAGGTGCTGGATTCGACTTCTGAATGAGTCGTGGTTGCTTGCTACCAACGATTTCCATAATGAAACCTAACAAATGTCTAGTACTTCCTGGTTTTCAGTAGTATTTCAATTGATATCACTAGGTGGTGAACACAAACTCTAAATTAAATCAATCTCCACAAAATCTTAATAATTGAGTTCATAAGTCAATTAAAGCTAGACCACCATAGGAAACCTGGAAGTACTGAACTGCTGTTTCGTCCTAGTAGGGGACTCCTTAACAGTGCGCATCCGTGATCGCGCTCGAGGGAATCCAACCCAGCACCTTCAGTCTTGCAGGCGAGTGTTCATCATTCTGTTTCAAGATATCTAATAAGTTTATGTGAATATTAGAATGAGGAGAAAAACGTTTCAAAATTGCAACAGAATTCATTCCGATATTATTAAATAAATAAATGATCTCAAGTTTCTTTGTTTGACTAAATAGTTCATCATAATTTTAGGTTACTTTACTTTTAATAACATGATAAACTTTGAAATAAGTAGTGAGTGTATATTATATAACTAAAATATACGTTGCTTTAGTACTTTATTTTAACTTGATATTTTAAACAAACATGTATCCATGTAGAAACATGTATCATTAGAAAATGTAACTATGGATTTTAGAATAAGTTGAAGTCATTTAATTATTAATTAATGAATTAGAATAAATGACACTGTTTCGTGTAAAACGTCATAGCAACGATCCGACAAACACTTTTGACTATGGTTAATTTTGGTTAAGCCATTTTATTAACTTACTTATTTGAACAGTAACAATTCGCATATTTCTGTGTACTGTTATGATCATTAGAGCACATGACACACTCGAGCTAAAATGTTGATCACTTATATATCAATCAATGATTCATCCTCCTCCTCATGTATATATGTACTCAAATCCTGTTATAAACTTCTGCATTACCTTGATGCGTCGTTATACAATTTGACTATAAATTTACCTGTGTATTTACTCGCATATACATATTCTCCTCTCTGCTTCAAATTCGCTTGACGTGCTTATAGCTTTGTGATTTACGCTATCCTCTAATAAACTGTAGTTACCCTCTCTCATTGCTTTCTGATTTCAAACACTGTTAAGATTTCTATTATAACGGTTATCAAGTTGATCACTTAACAAAACAAACCCACTACAATTTAACTTTAATAAACTTATCTCAATTAATCATTTTCAATTCTAGAAATAAATCTACTAGATAACTGAACATTCAAACAATATAATTATTGTTAATAGTAAACACTTCATTATCAATTAATGTGAGAGAGAGAGAGAGTATAAGTGAACACATGAACGTATACTCATTAATTGAATCCTATGAAAATGTGAGAATAAAGTTGAAATCATTAAGAGAACAGTTGAAACAAGGAAAATATATAATTATAAACAATTAATTTTCTATAATATAAAACTAAGACTGAAACATTAATACAACCAATGTTATAGAATAGTGAGTCAATTGAAGCTAGACCACCATGTTGCGGGATCGTGGATGCACACTACTTAGGAGTCCCATACTAGGACGAAACAGTCATCCACTACTTCCAAGTTTTCCATCGTGGTCTAACTTCAATTGACTCATGATTTCAATCAGTGAAATTTCTAAAAATCTCCACAAAACCCCTACTGATCATAGAATAGTGACGAACGAGACTTTAAAAAAAAAAAAAAGTTTCAACAATTTGATGAACATAGTTTTCAAAATTATGTAAATCTATAGAATATTTTAAAGTATCACTAATACACAACTTATGTAATACAAATTAATATACATAATAGAAGACAAATAAAGTAAATATGGCAACAATTTGATTAACCAATAATATCATAATGGATAGATAGATAGATATGCACACTCAATAAAGCAAACTATAAATAATTTCAATATTCTAATGATCATTGCCATATTTAATAAATTTACAATGTAAGAGAGAGTGCATCAATAATAAACTAACCCTACTAATAATTTATACATTTCTGATTGGTTGATAGATCTGATACGTGTGACCTTGAAAGGAAAAACAACCAATAGAAATCAGCACAACAAATAAACCAATTATCTTAAGAATAGAGAATTTAAAAAAAAATCACTATCATATAAAAAGAAACAAATTGTTGAAAAGATTTAATAAATGCAAATGTTATTAGTATAAAACTTAAATCTATAATCATGCAACGTCCACCGCCAATTCCTATATTAAATCGCCATTCAATGGAATATAAATCAGGAGGAAATTTATTAAATTCTATTACACCATGTAAAGAATATTATACACATGAATCATATGGAAAATCTAAATACTGTATTGAAGTTGATTTACAAGGTTATCCAGCAGAAAGTATACGAATTACAAGACAATTACAAGATGTTACAATAAGTTTAAATCATGAAGAGATTAAACCAACTGGTGAAAAATATAAACAAGAATTTAGACGTGAAATTCAATTACCACAATCTGTTGATTTGAATACATTAAAAAGTACTATTTTAAATAAAAATACATTATTATTATATGCTGATGTAAATAAACGTGAACAACCAATTTTAAAAAGTTCACAAATGAGTCCTAATTTAAAACGTCATATTAATTGGGGATTATCATGTTCACCACCATTACGTAATTCAATATTAGATTCACCTAGATTACGTACATCATTTTCTAGTGAAATACGACATCGTAATTCATCATTTACAAATTTACCAAATGATTTTAATAAATCATTTCATATTAAAAAACAGAATTTATCAAATTATCAAAATATACAACGACTACCAAATCATCAGCATAGAAGTAATTCTTTTACAAAATCGGAACCAATTAATATACCTGTACGTGTTGAAACGAATCAAAATCATAATCAATTCACTCCTATGAATAATGTACAAAATATTCGTGTAGAAATAACAAAAAATCAACCAATTCATTTGAAACAATCTTCTAAACAATCAACTTTAAATCATAATCAATTTCAATCACAAGTTCCACAGAATAATCATACTACTACTGCTACTACCACTAATAGTAATAATAATTATTATTATCAAAATGAACATAAATTGCTGAATAATAATAGTACATTAAAATCTCAACATCCATTACATATACTACCAGTTACAAATAATATCGATGAAAATGATCCTATAAACAATATATCAATACAAAATAATTATAATAATGCTATAAATCGTTTAATTAATCATACAACAGCAACAACAACAACAACGAATACTACTAACAATAATATAAGTAGTACTAATCATTTGACTAAACCTATGAAATTTTATACACAAAGTATGAAAGTTGGCTTAGATGTAAAACCGGAAGATTTAAATATTCATTTAAAAAATGGTTTATTAACAATTATGATTAAACAAAAAGGTAATAATATTGAAAATAATCAACAAACTAAAATTGCACGTGAATTTCTACATGAAAATACTATACCAATTAATGTTGATCAAAATAAATTAACAGCAAAATTAGATAGAGGTATATTAATTTGGGAAGCACCATATATGACAACGTCATCAACTATAACAACATTAACAAATGATCTAATTGATATTCCAGGATAAATGATGCTAAATATACTACTAATAATACCACTACCACTACTACTACTAATAATAATAATAGTACTAATACTATGTAAAAAATGAACATATTTAATGAAAACAGAGATTAATAGAAGATAATGAATAGATTCACTTAAGTTTATTCTTTCTTTCTTTTTTATATATTTTACGCCTTTGTTTTGTTTTCTTTTTTCTTGAAAGATTCATTTATTTTATGTGAAAAAGTAAACACTATTGATATTAAGATGAACATAAAATCGATTATATTGTATATTCATTAAAGTGAATTTTTCTATTTATTAATGAACCAAAAAAAGAAAGAAAAAAGAGATTAGAATCATTGTTTATTCATTTATTTATTTATTTGTTTTATTCTTGTCAAATATTTTAGTCTCATTCAGATATGTTTATAATATGTATTAATAATAATCATAATAATGGGCATGTATTAATCTATTTTTATCATATATATATATATATAAGTATCATTACCAAGGCTTGACTTGATAATTTCGAATAAATTGAGCATTAGGTTGATTGTTATAAATAAAGATAATATCCCAATGAGTAGAAAAATTGAGATTTTCTGACGTTTCGTAACTTGATATAAGCCACTTCTTCAGAGAATAAATAATCAAATCATAATTAATCGAAGTTTATTTATTATATATATCGATATTTTTGTGACTTGATATATGTTACCAGGTTGATCATATAAATGATTATTATTAAAATATACATGTCGCCAATCCTCTTATATATATAATCATCGACTTAACTCATTTTAGTAAATAACTGAATTAATTAAGTTAAATACAAGAATAGGTATGTTTCATCATATAGTCGTTGATCGGTAAATGAAGTAAAACAAAATGATGCGTATATGGTAAAGACAAGTGTGTCAACTCAATTTAATCATGTATAGATCTACATTTATAATCAGACCAAAGAATAAATTACAGACATGTGATGAATAAGATAAGTACACATACATATGCTCATATTAAAAAAAAACACAATGAAGATTAATAAGCAAATAATTAATAAGATTAAAATATATCTTGAGAAGTATAGAGAAATTAATTTATCCAGAAACTAGTATAAGTTATCTAGGCTCGACATAGCAACTGAAACTATCATATCATTCTTATTCATTATTGTTCTACATTGTTAAATTTTTTTTAATGATTCGTTAATCGATAAATTAAAAAAAAATTATTATTATTATATCCACTTTTATACTTTCTTGTTATGATTAGTTTAAAATGGTTTAAATCAATAGATTTAAGTGAATTTATCAAAATTAATTTGTTTAGTTTCGATGCATATATATATGAGGAGAGAGAGAGGGAGGGAGAGGGAGACACAGAGACAAAGAGTATATATATATATATATATATATATATATATATATATATATGGCATAACGATGAAAATGTGCTTTAATACAATAACGTGAATTTATTTTCATCATGTTAAAGTGAATAAATTATGAATATTATTATGGTAACCATGAGAATGATATTTTAGGAGTATGATTATTATTTTTTCTCAAACAGAAAAAAATATTTCAATAGTTGAGATCATGAGTTAGTTGAAGCTAGACCACCATGGAAAACCTGGAAACACTGGATGGCTGTTTCGTCCTAGTATGGGACTCCTCGGCAGTGCGCATCCACGATTCAGAACCCAGGACTTGTCAGTCTCGCACGCGAGCGGTTAACTACTAGACAACTGAGCGAGCCGGTATCCAAAGGTGTTAATGTCTAACTTCAATTAATCCATGAAATTGCTGCACCGTCCACCAATGTCATCACTGAGTTACTATCTCATAACAGACCCAATTGAACTCTAGTGGTCACTTCTGTCATATATGTAATACATAGTGATAATTGAATTATTTAAAGGAAATACTCTTATAATATTATTAGAAAATTTTTTAGATAGAATCAACTTAGATGGTTTTTTTTGGACTCTCAAGATTGTTTAGTAATAATAATTGACTTGATAACTTAGTTATTTTGTGAAATGTGATTTATCAACTTTAAAGCTTTAAAATAGATATGTAGAGTTAAAGTTACAGTTGATTTATTACCAGTGTTATGTTTGTTTAGATCTCTTAATGTCGATTGAATCTTATTGATCAAGTTTTAATATGGTGATTAACTTAAATGAATGGAAGTTTATTGAAATATTAGATGGTTATAGGTAGCCAATAGGATGCTTTATGTTTCGTACTATTTAAAATCTGTTTGAAAATTGTACTTGCAATTTTGCTGAATCTAATGCTTCTCTTTCTAATAGTGTTGAATTTTTGTTGTTGTTGTTGGAAGGCTGTGCGTTATATCGTAGAATTATATTTATCGGTTTGTTTGAACAGAAATCTAAAACTATTCAATCAAACATTCATTCAAGTGAAATATTGATTGTTAAATTACTTATGTGATTAAACAGTTGCAAGTATAAAAGTTCCCTACCAGTCAACAACAATACATAAAAATATGATATCTGGTATTGTTATGAATCATTTGTAAACAACTTGAAATTTGTATAAATATTTTATGTTATTGGATAAACTGAAGTCTTAAGATAATCAGGTCAAAACGATAACAGTTCACACAATGATCAACTGTTCGTCTTAGTTGTCTTAATATATAATATCATCATTTCTAGTCATTTTTTAACGAGTCAACCAAAAAGAATTTCGAATATTCAGATATTTTATTGAGATCATGTACCGATTTAAGTTAGACTACCACTAAAAACCTGGACGCTTCGAGAGGAGATTTCCAGAGTTCTAGTGAGAAGTTGTGACGAATGGAGCTAATCTGTGTCAGATGGGAGAAAAGTACCCACGGAACACAATGAAAGATGGTCGTGCGCTATCATAAACTCATTAAAGTTGGACACTAACACCATTGGATATCAACTCGTTGGTCTGGAGGTCGTGTCCTCACGCGAGACCGAAGGACCTGAATTCTATTCTCTTGTGCAGGATCGTGGATGCGCACTGGTTGAGAGTCACATACCAGGAGGAGATGGCCATCCAGTTCTTCAAGGTTTCCAATGGTGTTCTAACCTAAGTCGGTTCATGATTTCAGTGAAATTCAACAATCTCCACAGCTCCATACTGAAAATTAAAATATCCTTGTGAGCTTTTACTGTTGGTGACGTTATTACCATAGGGGGTATATAGTGGTTGTTGAGATTTTTCTAGCTTCCATCACGGACAGATCACTTCTGATCTTCGCTGGGGTTTTGAAGTTTTACTGCCGAGGAGTACAGGAACGAAGCAGCTATCCAGTACTTGATGATTTTCAGTGGTTATTTAACTAAATGAGTTACTAATGTAAGCCATGAAATTCAATACAATTCAAAGAGTATTATGTAAACTTCACTAGAATTCGACTAATAACTATCTAAATTTCTTGTCCTTCCTACTCTCACAATATTCTCTTGGTTTACAAATTCATTTACATCTCTCTTTTTCATACTGCTTATTATTTCTTATCTTCAAGCCTTACCAAACTTTACAAAATTACTGAAGTCAGTAACAATTCCGTACTCTTTCAGTGATTAGCTATTAGCGACTGTTTTCTTAACAGTATTGTTGGGAGCCTTGATTTGTTTAATCAACCCAAGTCAAAAATATGACAATTAGCTATATATGTTACAGGATGTTTATGACAACGTTATTAGAGTAAGTCCGATGAATTTAAAACGATAGACAACTGAGCTCTGGCTTGTTGGATATATAAGGATATTGCGTGTTCACTGTAAATAACTGATTGTTCAATATAGCATTTAGTAGGAATACTGATGAATAGTTTTAAACTAGAACAAAGCAGATGTTCAATATTCAATATTTTAAGGTTCTCAATGGTCCTTCAGCATTTCTATTTATTGATAAATATTATTTTCAAACTATATAAATCGTTAAATAAAACACTTGACCAAATAATTGATTACTTACAGTCGTCCAGTGTTAAAAGGATTTATAGCTACTGAATATTGTGTTATTAATCTATATAACACAACGATGTTGAAAAATTTCTACTTTTCTTATCTTACAGTAAAGCATGTCGAGCATTGATTTTCAGCTGGAATTAGGTCACTTAAAAAGTTTGTCTTGAGTTGTGTATTTATGAAGTATGCCTTAGCCAACGTCTTAATTTCGTTTGAAAATGAGTCATTCAATTCAAATAGATTTTTGCAACAACTGATGTATGTAGAAAAATCAAATTTCTGGATTTCCTGATATTTCTTGACTGAATGTAAGCTACTTCTTAAGAGAATAAATAAACAAATTGAATTAATTCAAGTTTAAATAGTACAAGGGAACAAAGTAAAAATGTTTGGTGCGATCAATAAAAAACGGGTCTAACTGAGTCAATGTCATGTCATTTCGGTCAAGGTGATTTATGTGAAGCATGTCTATGTATTTGTATATATATATGTCCACTTGTTAAATATATTACTTATGTGTGGGCGAGAATGATTCCGCCTGTAGCTCTTCCAGAGTTACTGCCGGTCCCAAGTCCAGGTAAAGGAGGAGGGTTTGGCATGAGGTTAGCGACCCCATCCCGTAAAAAAACTAACTCGCTAAGAAACGCTAACCAGAAAAAATAATCCAAGCCATTTCAACTCTGCCGGTCCTGGGAGTTAGAAGGTTTTCAGTTAGAAGAACTATAACGCCTCATGGTGAAAGCTGAGTTCCTTCGGAAGCCACGAGGCCGATGCCTCTTCGAACAACCAGTCAATTTTTTTTATAGGTACATGGAACGTCCGAACAATGTGGGAGACCGGGAAGACCAGTCAAATAGTAACGGAAATGAGGAGATACAACTTGGCAGTACCCATTGGACCCAGGCTGGACAACAAAGGCTAAATACAAGAGGGATGCTGCTGGCCACGAAGAGGAAAATGCTCCACACACTCAGGGAGTTGCCCTAATGCTGCCCAAAGTAGCACGAAATTCACTTGTAGGATGGGAATCTCAC